TAGTCGAGTCCTCTCATCGCGACGTAAAGCCTGAAATATGGAAAATCCAACAATTTCCATTGGAATTTTTGATATTGGATGAATAATATTTTTTATAATTTTTAATATTTTTTTACACAGTCCCAAACTTGAGAAATCAATCCTAAACCGCTACCAATGACTCCCAGAACAATTCCGCGAAGTGACCAGTCACCAAATCCTCAGCAAACACTCGACCAAAGTTCGTCCAGAGTTCCAATTTAGTCCCAGCAGCTCCAGCAACACTGGGCCAACACTTCCCCAGTGTTCTACCCACAAATCAAACTCCAAACAGAAACCAATACAATCTGTCGGGTTTGATTGCAATTCTTATTTATCGCGAATTTTCCGAAGAGGGGAAAAATCACGGATGAAAAAGCTGACAAAAGCCTCTAAATCACTGATGGAAATCCGTTGGCGCCGCGTTTGTCAATGAAAATCTCTCATTTGATAGCCAAACGCAGTGGCATAAATAAATGGGACCTATTCCATTTTCTAGCTAGTGCGGATTCCAGAAACAGTCGTTAATGAAGAAAGTACACAAAGTTGGAAGTACAGTGCTTTCAGCCACGATTTAGGGCTTGAAATAGCGCCCAGACCGTTGGATGCATTAATTCTTGAATGCAGAAACCATTTGGAATATTTATCTTAACCGATTTCTCCGCTTCCTTTCCTCTTCTTCAAGACCTGGCATTCTCCGCAACCGGAAGAGGGAGAATGATAAATTCACTGGCGATTATTTGGCATTGTTACGTGGGTTATATTCGTTTTTACATCATGTCAGAGTCACTCGCCATCGCATTACCATTCATTATTTTTTTTATCAATTAAACCGCGCGATTGCGGAATTAATTCCGTGACAAAACGATAAACTGCAGTGAGCCGATATTTAATCAGCGATATCTCCGACACTAAAGGAGATTCCGAATTTTTTGTAATAACAATTTCTCTAGCTCTCGATTAGCTCTAAAAAATTGGTTATAACAAAAATTCCGCTATCTCCCTCACATCTCGAGATTTTGGGTAAAAATTGGGCGGCAGTGAAAATCGTGGAAAATTTCGTCGAGCGGCTGTCTCTACTCAAAAAAAATTATTAAAAAATGCATTAAAAATATGAGATTAGCGGGATTGAAATGAAAAATAGATGGAATGCAGATTTAGAGTTGATTAAGAGTTTCGATGATTTTGGGAGTCACGAGATGCGAAAATCCCTGGAAAATTGGGAAAACCACCTGATCCCATCTCATCTCCCCGAATGTATAAAAATTAAATATTTTCCACGTCAACGTGCGTTCGCGGAGATAAGCCCCTGCCACCTTCAATTTGTCTTGGTAAACATTTACGGAGAGGGTAAGAATGATATATTCCTGTCTAACTGATCCAGAGCCACTGGTTCTGGAGCTTTCTGAGTGCCTTACGATTATCAGACGCTTTTGCGCAGAGAACATAACGTACGACGTATTACCGTCAGGATAAAGTGTGAGAATGATGGTGTACTTTTCAACAAGAGCATAAAGAAGTTGAAACAGAAGTTTCCAGGGAGAATGTCCAACGAGTACTGCAGTTACCTCGATATTTCATGTCCGGTTTTGTTGTGTTGTTGGAGTGCTCAAGAGTCCGCGAATTTTTTACGTCCTTTCTACTACGTCCAAAGAATTACTTGCATATGTCAACGTCAGCTGTAATTTTTCACTCCACACTCAGGGAGTTACTTGGATTACAGAGAAAGGGAATTGCTGAAATTTCCTGAAATATCAGGTTTTCATCTCGCGGACATCTTTTTTTTTTCGTCAATATTTTATAACTGAAAATGTTTTAAAATTTGATATTTTCGTCTATAAAATTGTTAGAAATAAATTAAAATTTCGTGGGTAATTGTAATAATTACTTTCAAGGGCGCGAATGGAACGGAATTTTCGTGAAATTAGAAATTTTTAAGCAGCAGGAAGACGAGGATTTCGCAACTAATTTGAATTTTCAATGGACTCATGAATATTCAGTGCCAAATTAGACTGAGTTTTCAATTAATTGAAATTCACCGACGCACTGGCCCGTTCTCTGCTTCCTATCAATTTTCATGGCATAATTCACTCGAAATTTCCTATTTCCGGGAATTTCGACTGGAGATTTCCAATTCTCAATTCCGGAGTAACAAAATTTCTGATAGAGAATTTATAATGAATTACCCGACTTAACAGCAACCAATCAATTCCTCGGATTCATAAGCCGATCACATCTGCGGCTTTCACCGCTGGATTTTCCTCGCATTACGGAAACTGACAGTTTACCGATACATGATATTGCGATATATAGAGGATTGAGTGCTGTATTACAAGAAGTGGAGGCGGAAAGTGTTGGCTGAAGTGGATGCTCCTGGAAGTGGTCAATCGATTTTGAAGTCAATATCTCCACCGAATCGTATCTCCACTCAAACAACCATTGGACGATCGCCGATTTGCCAAATCCTCCAATCACTTCCTGGGACTTCCCCTCATCCCTGGAGTTCAAAAAAAAAAAAAACAAGTCATCAAACAAGTCATCTCCCGCTGTTTTGTCGGTGCGGTCAAGCCTGGACCGGTGGAGAGCATTAACGATCTCCGGAATCCTAATTCACTTTACCCCCTCATACCGGAGAATTCGAGAAGGTCTCGTTAACCGTTAAGGTTCCGTTACCCTGTGTATAATTTTCTAATTTCCGTCATAAAAACATGGCAATGTTATCAGCAAGATAACGGTCAATTTTCAACTGAGTTGGCAGAGAAAACGATCGTTAAATCTGCATAAACTCCAGTTGCAGAAGACTCACAATTATTTGTACCAAAGTTTTCTTACCAGTCATGATAATTATTCAGTCAGTTTGTAATTTTGGTAATAAATCAGAGGAAGTGGGGGAAATTTCCGCGCTTTTACCTCGCTCTGAACAAGATGAACCGATAATCGCGTTAACGATCGTTTCATTCACCGAGCACGCTCGGATTATAAATGACTCTGACCAAAGAATTATTGCTCGATTCGACATCTCTCGTTCTTCAGCACGTGCTCAGCCTCTAGATCACCCTCAGCTGTACCAAGAAAGTAAAGCATCCAGTGACCGAATGATTGACGACAAGAAGTTCCCGGGGTTCATCCAAGTTCCAGCACTCGGGATGATTGGATTTGTTGGAGCAGATTGGATGTGCATATGCTTCAAAATCATCGATTCGACGAAAGATTCTCTCTTATCGTTTTTTTTTCCGCTATTAATTCTAGGATAGCGTTTACGTTACGTCGTATACGAGAACGATATGGAAGCAATTTGTTAAGGAACAATCATGAAATACCAGGAGTTGTGTGCTTACCTCCGTCGAATGGGTCCTTCCTCTTCTCCGTGTTCATTATTTTCAACTTCTTATTTCACCGTCTTCACAGGATCATGGGGGACTTTTTATGGTATACGATCCACAAAGTAATAACGTAAGCACTCGATCCGCTTTAGTCGACCAAATGGATCCTTTGATTAAGTTCTTTGACCTGGAGACAGAACTGAAGTTCATTTTTTCGTTTGGAATTTAATCTAGTAGACATCTAAAACAGAAATTATACATTTGAATCGGTAAACTCTTGAAGATGATGGAGTCAAATGAAATTAATTGTCAATCTGTTGACGAAATGAATTCCTGTCGTCAGGATTACCGCAAAGCGCATCCAATAATTTCCATTCAACATTTCATAATCTTCTCCCCTGGGGATGTAATAATCTCGTTAACGATCGTCTCATTTACGCCACATGATAAATTACTCGGACCAAAGAATTATCGGGTTAATCAACACCTCTCGTTCCTCGACGATCTCTTCAATCACACGTTTCGTTTCCCTCCACCGAGACTGAGAGAAAAAAAAAATCGTCCCATAAAAAGCCCAAGAAAATGTTTTCATATTCAATTTTAAAAAATCCCTAACACCCTCGCACACTAGCGCATCGAGAGACTAATTGTTTCTGCCATGTCATTTTTTTTTCTGGGAATTGAAAGTGTGAGAGAATTTCCTTAAACATTTTCTTCATTCTCTTCTCTCCAGCCACTGCCTCAAGTTCGACCATAAATTACAGAAAAACTTTTCTTCTTAACCCTTTGCTTTCAGGATTTTAATATTCAAGGAGAAAGTTTTTGTGTAAAAATTTGATCACAGGATAATTGAATTTTTTTTTTATCAGGACACGGAATATCTAAAATTTTCAGGGATGAACTAGATCGAGAGCCACAACCACCGGGTCGAAACGATTTTACTAATGCAATTCCATGCACCATTGAGTGACTTTAATCCGAATTTCACATTTTAAAATCAAGGGCCTCCCAATTTATTCATTATAAATAATCCCCCGTGTCCTGAATACGCTACATTATTTAATTCCATAACTCCAGAACTAGCATCGAATCCGAGAGAAGTAACTCATTTTCGTAATCGGCTTATTGGAGACGGATGTGATAAAAACAAGATGAAAGAAGCAGCAAGACCCTTCAAAGCACCTGAAATGTCTCTAGAATCCAATCGATATCAGACGTAACTTCGTAACAAGTTTTTTTTTTCTCGTGTTCCAAGTTATTATGAATTTTTTCAAGTTAACGAACCTTCAGTTTCCCAACTCATCAGACTGTAGTGATTGCTCCGTTGATTTGTCATGCACCAGTTACTCACTCCCGACGCAAAACTTGAATTGACAGAATAGGAAATTATTTTTTTATCAAGTATTTTCTCGAGCCACCTAAAACTGACATAAATAAATAAATAAACAATCGCTCATTACGAAATTTATAGACTGGAAAGACTGGATGAATTGAAAAATCTTAAATTTATTTATTATATTTATTATATGATATTAATATTGCTCCCATGAGATTTCTTTATTCTCTGTAGTAGAATTCAACGAATGACCTCGGTTTTCCTTCAGTATAAACCACTTCTGATGACAGACTAATTGAAATCTAATTTTTCTTCTGTTCCAGAGGCTCACAGAGCATTGGAGCTCCTGGAGGATTATCGTGCTAAGCTCACAAGGCCTCAGGATAAGCAGCTGCGACTCGCCATCGAGCGGGTAATTAGAATCTTCAAGAGCAGACTCTTCCAGGCGCTGTTAGGTAAGTACCTGGAACAATGACTGCACTTTAATTCACTGGAGTTGTTTCTGGTCACTTGTCGGGGGGATTAGCAGAGGACAGGTGACCATCCGGCTAGGTTGTGTTTAAACTTGATAACAGGGAAACATCCACTCCAAGATTATGTCTTCTCGTCCTACATGCGTGCAGATACTCTAGGTTGTGGTGGAGTTTAGGATTACGTCTCTGGTACTTAGGGATTCGATTATCACCATCAGGGTGATCATTTTGAAAATTGCTGGGTGATACCGTAACGTTAAACCTGATGATCTGTAATCTCGGGTAAAAAAAAAATTGTAATCGGAATATTTTTTTCAAATTTTTAAAAAAATTCTGGAAAACTTTTCAGAAAATTTTTCTTTTGAAACAAAAAAAATCGGGAATTTGTTTCGGAAATTTTATAAAATAATTTTCCAGAAATTTTTGGAAAATTTTGAAATAATATTGCGATTATAATTTTTTTTTACCCAGGACGAGATGAGGTCGTAATGGCGTTTGACGGGAGTGCGTCAATTCGATGGGAGAATTTAGAATTTTTATGGATTCATTTAAATAATTTTCTTAATCAACCACAAAGGGTGAATCAACAACGAATTGCTTCTGCGTAGCTTCTCACAATAATGAGAATCCAGCGGTGTGAATGTGTCGAAGCTCCTGTGAAAATTCACGTCATGATTCATTGTGGTGCTGTGTATGAGAGGGTAAAATTTTTCACAAGACTTATTTTATCGTGGTGATGAAAAGTTCTGTCTCCATGCTGTGGACATTCATCATCCCACGTGCATTTCTCGAAGGTAGAAAAAAATCTTGTACTGCGGGATGCTTTGTGAGGTGCTAGGATGCTAACGAGACATCGATGAGAATTTTTCTCAGCGGGTTGGTAAAAAACAGAGAGAATTTTCATTCCAAGTCTGGAGAACAAATTCAAGACATAATGAATGACTAAAAAGTGATTTACCTTTTGAATACCATCTTTCTAATTTGAATTCTCTCTGGTGATATAGAATGTAATATTCCTCAGTGGAGTGATGAATGCTACGGTATCGCTTTCCTTTGTGATATCTCCACTTTCCCGGTTGCAATTTCAACTTTTGATGCAAATCAGCAATAAAGTCCAACAGTTTGTAAGAAGGCAACTTCACTTTTTAACATACACTCAAGTCTAACTCGCGCTTGCAGTTGTTAAAGAAAAAACTTTTAAAATTTCCACGTTGAGCGCTCGAAAATTTTTATCGCACATCAGTTTCAATTTCATTCCAAGGAATTCCGGTGGTGATTAATCCGAATTTCAGTCCGGTGATTGTGAGATTTTTCAAATAATAATCTAGTTGTTGAATTGAAGTTCAATCAGTTCTCCTCTGATTTCTCAAGACTTGAGGAATCTTTATAAAAATCTCGACTTGAGACTAATACTTTATCCTAAATGACGTTGGTTAATGGTGAAATTTTTTAAAACCCTACGTGCAACTCAAGTACAGCCCAATGTCGGTGTACGTGGACTTTTGTTCTCGCGGCTGGAACAAAGCAATGAATTACTGGTGACCCATTGTATTGTCGTAGCTCCAACTATTATTTCGACTGAGGTAACTCCCGCTCGCGATCCTGTAGATTCGGTTCGTGATCAAAGGTTTTTTTTTTTAACCCAATGAAAAGTCTGTGGGAGAATTGGAGGGATGCGTGCTTCCGGGAATATTTGCAAGTTTCTCTTCGTTACGTTGTATTTTTCCATGAATTGGTATTGAAATTTCAAGGATCACTCGAATTTTTCACATTCCTGAAAAAGTTGGACAAATTGGTTGGAATCTACTATACGTCAGGTCGATTGTAATCCATTAAAGGGCGATAGGTTCGTGTCGACGGACTCCCTTCCACTGTTTATGAATTTACTTCAATTTTACGAGGAATTCTTCGCTGGAGATTGGATGGCGCATGAAAACTGAAAAAACATTCAATCGACCCCTGTTTTTTTTTCATTTATTTCATTTTCGAACAGAATATTTTCAACTCTCGATTCGCGAGAAATAATTGATTGGTCTCAAAAGGATTTCCCAGAATTAAAACAGCGAAAAAATACGACATCACTACAATCATTATTATCCTCATTATGAATTCTCATTATGAATCCTCATTATGAAAGTAGAAACCCAAAAATGAAATTCGCCCGAGTCGAAATATCTCGAAACGCATAGGACAAATTCCTCATTGGTCAACGGGAAGCGCCAAATTCAAATTCGGCGCACGGAATGCGCAGTAGGTCTTTGTCATAAAGTTGGAGAATGAATGATTGTTTTGATTAATTTTTTATTCGCTAAAGCGCTAATTCTCTGTGATGTGCGATTAATTCAAATTTTGTCGAGAAAGCCCTGACAGTTTCCAAGGGGACGCCATGCTTCGCGGTAATTTGCAGTTACATGTCACACTCCGAGTCAACATTCCTATGCTCTCGTCCTTCGTTTACACTGCAATTGAGGTACATCACCCTGTTCCATTACAATTCCATGATCTGTCATTCCGCATCTGACAATTCTCCAGATGATGGCCAATGTCCCTCGTAAACACATCAGAATACTCCATGAACTCGAAACTAAACATCACGTATTTTTTTAATGAACTTCCACATCCACTGCTGGAAATTCCCTTTCACCCGGAGTTCAATCCACTACCTATCCCCAGAGTTACACCAAAAAAAAACCACTTGACCATCTATTTCCTCTTATTCACCTTTTGAATAATATTCACCCCAATAAGAGAATAAATTTCCGCTGAATTACCAGAACGACTTTCATTGACCTTAAGGAACGGTCAAATTGCTAGTGGTTATTAAAGACAAAAAAATGAGAGAATCTGCTCGTTTAATTTCCAAATAGAAATCCAATTTCCATTCCCTGAACGTTAAGTCAATAAAAACCGTTAAATATTTGCTGATGGATTCATTCGAATCACTGGGCAAGTTCTGTTTGACATTTACGAATAGCCAACTAACTTTGATTTCCGAGTGTTTCTGGAATGTTGAGCGTGAGATTAATGAAGTTGTCTGTTTGAAGTAGATGAGAAATATTCCGAAGATTTAAGAAATTGGCCAAGAAATAATTGACGAATTTATTTCGAAGGATACGTCCTGTGAATGAGATAAAGATTTTGGTTTATCTTCAGCCGACGAATATTTATATGTGCCTCCCGGCGATGTTGCATTCAGTGAATATCTCACGGAGCATTAACTATGCGCCCCCATCCTGGCACAATTCGTGGTGTATTATCCCGACGAATACACACACCCCTGGGGCACGGTTAAAATGACTCGAATTTTCGTTGTCAGCTAACGATCTTTGCTGTTTGAATTAGAACAACTCTGCATATGATTATATTTCATTATAATGGTGCATTACATTCTACGTGGGGCTCTGTATAGTCATCATCTGCATAGTCATCGCTTCTGATGATAAATATTATTTATCGATGCCTCCAACTTCGCTGAAGAACATGAAGAAGGAATATCCCGATTTTATAATCTGCGAAATTGAAAGGATTTCAGTTAAAATAATTTAATAAGTTCTTACTCACTTCCACTTCAAGAGGTAGAGTTTCGTTTATTGAAATTTTATTTATGTGTTATTTACTGTTATTTACTTCAATGGTAAATAGCTAGAACAAATATTTGAACTCGAGCGAAAGTTGGAACTGATTCAATAGTTCAAACTGCAATGAGAATCCGAATCTGAACGTCAGGGAGAGTTTAGTGATTGAGTTTGAAACGTGAGGTGATTAATAAAGTCTGATATTAATTTCATGGACTTACTGAGATGAAAGTTTCAACGGACAAACTGAAAAGACCTCCAATTAGCAAAACCACCGGTTTTTGTGATCGACTCATCACGATGTCCATCGATTTGCGAAAGCTTTCGTCACACGTTGTCCAATCGCAGGTGTAAATTGCGTCAGACAAGTCACCGAACTGCAGAGAGAACAGAATAACCAGAAGATATTTTTAAATGAATAAATTGTTTCAACTATAATGGAACTTGCTTTTAGAGATACTTCGTTTCCCCGCCAGCAGTACAAAAATATTTGTATAAGCATGCAGGCCAGGTACTGAGCTAGAGAGAAAAATTGAAAGCTCGCTGGAGGCAGCTGAAATATTGATGGAAATTCGATGATGGCATATTTATTCTCCACAGTACCTATTATTTCAATAAATACTCACTATCGCCAATGCGAACAGACTGGCGCATATTATCAGACAGCTGGCGATGAACTGCACTAGGATTCCAGCCTGGAAGATGTCCTTCAGCTCATTGGCAAATCTGAAATAAATATTCGGAAGTGGATCTGGATAAATTCATCCAAAAAATTCTTCTACCTCGAAAAGAAATTTTATAATCCATCGATTTATCAAATAAATTCCCACAATTTATTGAATTTCTTCAACATCTGATTTATAACATAAATCAAAGAGCGAAATTCTCTGGTTCTTCTCGCTTTTCTCCCCCACAACGCATGAGCATTTTCACCCCAAATATTTACCTCTCTATCGCAAGGGCAAATTCCACACAAGCCGATACTCTCGCTTTCATGTCTTCCTGGGAAATTTGGGGTATGATAACAGGTGGTATTTCCGGTGCTTTGTCGTTCAGGATTTTTTGTTTTTCCATTTTTTCGAACCGCTTCTCATTCTCACCAGTCGCTTTCTCAATCATCTTTCTACCCGCTACAGTCCGGGGTGCATCTTCCCCAGGACAAATGAAAGCCTCTTCGAAGATGCTTCCGTAGTCTTCTGCCAACATCTCCAGATGTCCTGACATCATCTTGAGTAGTCCACAGATGACAGTGTCCGTCATGGTGTTCAACATTGTGTTGTAGGTTATGGCGATAGTCTGATAGGTGTAGACTAGCTCGAATGTTGGAGACGTGGAGATGTTCAGTGGACACCACATCTGATAGGCTAGTTGATTTTCCTGAGAAGAAAATTAGTCGCATGATTTGTGAATAATTCTTGCAAGAAAACGTGTTTTCACAGCAATCGGTGTGAAGTTGGCGGTGACTCATGACAGAAGCCAGGGAATCCCACAAATTTCCCGCCATAAGATTTGAATTTCGAAAAAAAAAATGTGATTACCTCAGACGTTCTATCGATCAGAGGCCAGAATGTCCAGAATATAGTCGCACAGAGACCCGATGACAGGAATATGATTGAATCCCTTCTGACAATTCTCATGGATTCATTCATAACCTCAAAATGCGAGGGCAACCGTGGCTTGAAAATTGGATCATTCAGTGTATTGAATAGTTTCTCCAGTCTCCTTCTGTACCACAGAATTGAATGAAATTTACAGGCCATTGCGCAGTAGGAAATCATCAAGTATATTGAATGCATGACCTCCTCCAATTTTGTTATAACCTTCATGATGTGAATAAATTGGAGTACGAAAAACGAGCCGAACCAAATAGTTGGAGATATCGAGTTGTAGATGAAGTAAATATATCTAGAAATAAATCTATCTCAGCATTTTCTTCCGGACAAGTCGATTTATAAATAATACCCGAAATGAATTTTCCCATCTCAAATTTCCGAGGAAAATTCGGGTTATTGCAAATTGAGTCACTCACGTTTTGTTTAAAGAAACATTTTTTTAAAATGATCCACTATAGGACATTATTCCAGGGAGACATTTTGACGGTGTAATTAATTCCGAGAAGCGTCATAAATTAGTTATAAAAATTCAGGGCTCTTTTAAAATGAGGAACAAAGAGAATCCCCGGGAAATTCCGTGGGGACAATTTTCTCACCTAAGAGGTTTATTTTTCACTCCAGCCGGCCAAATCCCCGCGTATTTCCATATGGTCAGGTTGAGCTTGAATGCATTCACAGGCTTATACTCGCTCTTGTTCATTTTGGAAAAGCGATGTGTCCTCACTGCAACGGTGAAATTTCACTGAATGCACCTCCAACTTCCGGGTCTAGATGAAAACTTGACTGGAAAATGCTGACATACAATTAGCAGAAGGACAGATGAGTAATTGTCAGGTTGAAACTGGAAATTGTCATTACCAAGTCCAACCCGATGGTGGGTATTTGTTTATTCATGGCTAACAGGTCTGTATTTCTCATGGCTTTAGTTGGAAAACTAAAAATTCACAGACGGGTAATTCAAGGGGTGGTGAAGGCGTGTAATTATGGCTGGACTTGGATGAGGGTGGGGATTGAGTGTTGCCATTCGATGTCGGACTGTATGTCCATTTGCGATATTAATTATGGGATGTGTTCATCTCATGTTGAGGAGTATTAATGAACGGCTAGTGGATATCACCATTGTCCCCGAGCCAAAGTACACGTACATTCGGGAGTATATGGTAATTACTGGTATTGATCATTTCGATTGTTGACTTGGAATTTTGGTGGTGCCTATGGGTGAGAAATCTGGTTGTGGTATTCATAAAAGATTCAATTTCAAAGAAATTAATTCCCGGGAAAATTCCTAGAGAAGCTCCTGCTATCGATTTTTCGCCGATTTTTTTTTAATTGATCTCTGAAAATCTTCGAGTGTAAAAAAAAGTGGCTGTCCTCCCCCCGAAGTTATAAATCAGGTCCTCGAACTCATTGCGAAAAAAAAAACAATTATTTCTGTATTTTCAATACTTTTAATTGTTGCAAAATTATTTATTAACTATACGCAAAATCAATAGGTCATTGAATGATAATTAGGAAATTGGAGGGATAATTATTAATTGAAAAATACCGCGAACAGTTGGAGCTCTTCAGTAAAAAAAATTGGTGGCAGTTTTTTAATTCGATCAATGGATCATTTTCGTTCTCCATGAAGCAGAAAAATTAGTTCTTTGTTTCTAACAAAAAGAGAGATTGCCTCAGGCATTCGCTTTTCCTTCGCAATTAAGTTCTCTCCGAACGCAGGAGTAAGTGGTAGATTAACAAGATCACGGTAAATGCAATTCCATTTTACGTTAACGACAAATATCTTTTGTCGAATCAGTGAGGGTCTTAGGGCTCTTTGACGCTCACAAGGTTGGACCCGGTTAACTTTCTACTTTGCATTATATTGGAGTTTAAATGAAAGTGTTGAGGAAGTTTGCTCACAGGATCGAAGCGTCCGCCTGAAATAAAAAAAGGGAAAAAGGAGAGCGACACCATTTTAAGTGTTGCAATTTGTTCCCGTCCACTGCACATTAATTGGGTGTGAAAAATTGTCCACTTACGACTCATAAAATTGACAGTTGCACGATCCAAATGAAAGAGTACAATTTTCCCATTTTCCACGGTAAATTACAAGCGTCAATTGCGCGAGTTTAATAAATATTTCGCTGTTTCGCGTGCAGGTGAGAATAGTCTCACATTTCCGGATTTTTTTTTATCGTGAATTGAATAGGGAAATCCCATGTCCACATGTCAGCACTCTGCGCCGAATTTCAATTTTCCGGTTATTTGAGTTGACCATTATCATCAAGCCTTACGAGTTTCGAGATATTTTGAAAATCAATCGTAATATCATTGACTCGAAGAGTTACCTCATTTTTCCGCCATTTTAACTTCCAGACAAGCGGTCCATAAGATGGCGGCACGAAGTGCGATCTAAATTTTTTATTCAATTTTCTTCATTTTTACTGCGATTTCAATTAATTTTTGACAATAATTATAAAACAATTTTTAACAATCTTCAAGGCCGGATATCTATCGACAGAACAATATGTCAAAAAATGTCACCCCGTTTACAATTGGGGAGGAAAAATCTCGATAAAACGCCGAAGTTCTGTTTTGTGCCGTCAGTTCTGGCATAAAAGTTACTGATTGTGTCAACTCGGCGTTAAATTAACAAAGGAAAACTCACGGTAAAAGATTCGAAAGAGGAAAATGAGACGATGTTCATCACTGTGTGCTCTCATTCGCGTTACATCTCTAGCCCTTTCCTTTTGAAATACCGCTGTGGCATCGTTTCACGTGAAATCCAAGAGCCGTGACCGAGTCTTTATGAATTCAGAGTGAATGAGTGCCGGAACTCTCCCAGAAATTTTTTTTTTTCACCAAAACCCTCGACTCTTCGTTTCAACTCTTCTTTCCGAATTTAACCACTTGACGAGCTTCGGGGAATTCAAGTAATGAGGATATTTCATGGAAACCTTGCACTCGGATTAATCAAATTCCGATGGTAATGTGGTTTATGGCCACCCGTACTTTATCAGAATTAGTGGAATTAATTTTTCCAACTTTCCATTACCCAATGACCTACATTGAAATTAAGGTCAAATCGCCAGGGGATTTTTACATTTTTTTTACATTAAAAATCCTTTAAATACAATTGACGTGATGCAGAAATTTGCTCGATCGCTGATTAAATTTCGGGGGTTTTACTATGAAAAATAATTATAAATAATTAATTAGCCAGCAGTTGACAATCGAAAATGCAAAATCGCGTCAACTGAATTTATTTATTCCGTTTTTTAAAATAACTCGATTAATCGAATTACGGTGTGATATATTTTATTAATAACTTTTCCATCGAGTGCGATGTACCCCGCAGGATAATTCCCCTGTACCATGAGATCATTTCGCTTCCTTCCTTACCGATATCCAATTCCGGGTGTTTTAGCGCCACCGGTAAAACACTCTTGGCAGTCGATAACGAGGAATTCCAAAAAATCCAGGGCCTGACCATCAGTCGGTGAACGCCACCCCTTGATCACCCAGAAACCGTTAAAAAAACGTCAATAAATTATCAGCGGGAAAAATCCGCGGATTTCAATTACCGATACTAATTACAACATACTTCACATCTCTTATCGCTCCTTGGGGTGAAGTAATAAAAGTTCGATGAGACTTAGATGACAGTAAAAAAAGGGGGCTTCATAACATAAACGGGTGACATCGTAAAACGGGAAACGAGAGTGCCTCTGGGCTCTCCGGCGGTTTATATGCATTTGAAATCACAGAAGCTCCGCATCAGCTTTTGCACAGAAGTTAAGGCGAGAGAGCAATTTATATGATAATTGTTTTCTTGAGCCCCAGCCTCGAAGTGCAGGGGATTCGTTTACTGGCAGTACAACATACAAGTACTTGCCCTTTACGTTCTTCCCTTTTAACGATTCGTCATAGAATGCATTGCCGAGGTGCACCGTAAAACCCGAGTGTTTGGGTGATGTCTTCATGTCAGTGGAAACACAACGGCAATCGATATGGCTGGCGTAAATGGAGTAGTTGCGGTCGATTTGAATTATCTGCTATAAAAAATTAATCCCTCTTTCAAGAGAATAATTACTGATCTTATTTTTCACTCGATTGACAGAGATAAATCGGAAGTCAGAGGATAAATAAAATTATGATCTTTCTCTTTGGATTGACGATTAATTAAAAAATGAGTAGTGATTGACTTTGAAATAATAAAAATTCCGGAAGCTTCAATAGAAAATAATCAATTCGCATCGCGTCTCACGAGAAATCTCGGAGTGGAATATCTTCATTTCACTTTTTGCTTTCTATTCTTCACCAGTTCCCAGAAAAAAATACCCCAGCTGGTATCCATGGGCTTTTCAAAGCAACAATGCTATCTTTTTTCCACCAATACTTATTCCCATCTTCCCCAAGGTTTGCATAATGCAGGAGGAATGAAAAGACGAAATGCTCTCGACCGTTGGAAAATAAAAATAAAACGTTCTTCCTGGGGGTTAAACCTCAACACACAGATGATCCCCGAGTCTTGATTCTGATATGAAGGATTTCAGTTTCTCGTGTTGAGGCTTTTGAAATCCCACCAGTTTGTGTCTAGAGTTTCAGGCATGACCTCTCCACTGGATTTTGGTGCTTGCCCTCTTCATCATCTCGAACTACTGAACTGAACTACCGCGATATCAATAGTTTCCGTTGTTGTACTCGATACGGCGAAACTCCATTCGATGTATTAGTGAGCAATCAATCGTATCGTGTATTACGATTTTTCGGGTTGAACGCGGATTTTAATATTCGGTAAGCCGACAAACGGTGAAGCCTTAATTGAAAACTGCTGCGTATCCGATTGATGAGAATCTATTGGAGCGGATACTCCTGGATTTAGCAAAACGGAGAATTGATTGGATGTTGCCAAAAAAAAAAAAAAACAAAACGGTTCGAGTCATTTCTATAACTCGTGAATCATGCACTCCTAAAAAATAATGAATTTTCGTTTAATTGCGAATTCCTTCTAGCCATTGTTTATTTTTAAATGCCGAATGCATTCCGTAATATTTCTCTCTGTGTGATAACTCCTGATGATTAAGTTAGTGAAAATAATTCTTGAGATACTATTTCACGTTTTCTCTAACGAAGACACGGCACGAGGTGTTAACGTGATGACGACGTGCAATTAAGTCTTGAGAGGCAGGACTAATTTATTTCCCTCGAAATTGATGTCCCGAAGCAATTTCCCTTCGAATCTAATATGACTCCGCCCAAATTCACTTGGTTGAGGAAATTTTTCACGGGGGGGAAACAGAAAAAAAAATAAATTCAACGGGCGGATAGGAAAATTGTGGGCGGTTTTCGAGAGAGTCATTAGCTTCCGGTTGAGTTATAAATATACGACTGTTATAGCGGGGGGTGTGTTTAAGACCATCCGGGAATATTCCTTTGGGACAAACTATTTTCCTCTCTCAGAGAAATTAAGGCTACGCTTTGCTTCTTCCGTACAAGTTCAAAACAAATTCAACCATTTTGTTTTTTCTGACGCTCCGAAATATCTCGAAAATGGCTCAAAAAAATTGTTCACTCCGTAAGAAGAGACTGAAAAAAACTGGAGGTGATTACAGCATGCTAAACCCTTTTAGCAATTATTTAAAAACTCGAGGTGAGCCCGTCACCATCTTGTGGTTTCTCAAAATGGCGGTAAACGATATCATCAAACGACTCTCAATTCACGAGAGGAAAAAATCGAACGCATAGAAAAATTGTGCGCGATTTTCAATGGAATCATTGCCTTCCGGTGGTTTATTCTAAATATATGCCTGTTATCGCGAGAGGGTGTGTTTAAAACCCTCGTGGGACATTCCTCTGGGGCAAACAGTTTTAGGTCTTTGGGGTAAATTTTAATGGAAACTAGAGCGGCCCCTCTCATCCACCTGCCGCAGCTTCTTATTAACGCCCCTTGACCCGTTGAGCTCCAAGTGCTGTAAAATCAGCATAAAAATGGAGGCGCTTGTAATATATTTCTCTGGCTTTTTGCTTTGCCGTGTTGTAACTAGCCCTCTGAGAATTATCTTTTTATTTTACGTTTACATAAATAAATTCTCTCACTTCCGCGGAGAAAAATATTCAATAAAACTTACTTATCCTTTCCGCAATGAAATGCTCTTGCAGAAAATTTCATTCGAATTTCCGCCGAGGGACTTATGATATCGCCACTTAAATTTTGTGAGTCGCTTCCGTAATCCGCAGAGGATTTGTTTTTTTAAGGATTAAAAAAAAAATAGTTCGGGGAAGGTTGAAAGGAATTATTCAAGGGTAATGGTATTCAGCGATATTGCGTTCGTGATGCAACAAACGTACGATCAATTACCGAGCAATCCGATTCGTTGTCGCCTCATACCCGCACGTGATAACGTCGACTCCAATAATTTACAAATCCCTGGGTGAGTACACAGGGATGTAGAATAACTGAAAGAGAGGGTAGATACAGTACTGTATGACGGATATTGCCAAATTCGTGTGCCCGTGAATATTGCGATCCCACGAATATACACATTGCAGTGATACTCACCAGTAGATAACACAAAATGTTCCACAGATAACAGATAAAGTGTCGGCAGCCTGAGGGTGTATTTTTGGCCATAAAAAACGACTCCCGTGGCTTTAATCCACTGGGATTTTTCCAGATTCCGTGATGGAGCTGGTAGAGCCGAGTTGAATTACTCAGCACCAAGAAGCTCCAAAAATTTTCATTTCATACAGTGAGTTCATTCGAATCCAATCGATTCGCAATAAATTACCGTTATTCAAATTTTGGCGCGCAATTGTGTAGTGGGCGCGAGGTGTCACAGACAGCGTGGCAGCAGAGCGTGGGGTGAATCCCCTAAGAATATCGTAATTTTGTCAAAATGCAAAATTTCATTGCACCAAGCAAGACAATTCGCATGTCCGAATGTAGGTTTGACACCGAGAAGTTAATTAGAGGTGACAGCGGGAAACCAAGTTGCGCCATTTCTACTCTTCACAGTGATTAACTTCTTTGGACGAGAAAGACGGTTCAGCTGTGAAAGAGACGCCACAGTAGCTGTCTCATTAACTAATTAGTCTCGGTAGAGTCTAAGACTACAAAATACCTGAAAATGTTGAGCAACTCTGGTGTCTTAATCTTCCGGAGGAGTGACTTGGAATAATTATCTCAGGATGTCGCAGCTCTTGCCCCTTTTTCGTCACTCACCTGTGGACCAAGGGTGAATAGGAGAAGAAATGATGATGTAGGAAGGATTGCACTTGGCGCGAGACATTACCGCACCTCCGGGGGATTTAATTTTCTTGGAATACATTATATTATATGTGAGGAGTTTGCTGGCATTAATTCTGGTACGTGCGGAGTACGTAAATGATGATACGTCAACGAGAATGCACTCGAATTTTCACCGAGAAATTTGTCCACCTGTAGCGGTGGTACGTGATGTGGCGGCGACCGCAAGAATTCCCGATGGAAGGAAGAGTCAAATTATATCCGGATAGAGAAAAATGAAATGGAAAAAAACCATGAGATCATCGTTGGCTGCTGGAGATTGTCTCGTATTGATACTCACATTTTTTTCCATTTTTTTTTATCATCGCGGGGAAAATAAAAAATTCTTTTGGTAATCTCCCTCGACATTTTCGCTCACTCCGGAAAATACTTTGAGGTTATTAAGTTTCAAAATTGGATTCTTTATCCCTCAGAGAAAATTTTCTTTGATGTGAAAATGTTGGAGTTCATGCGACTGTCATCTAGAAAGTATTTACGATGGAAATATCAATTTTCACGAGTTTCCGAGTATCGAGTTTGAAGGGCTCTTTGACTCGTTCAACGCAAAAAGAGCGAATGCTCACAGAGCGGTCAACACAGTTCTCTTATTTTCGTATCAAAGACACCATAGTGGATCCTAAAAGTTTAATAAAAGTATTCTTCCACTCTTATTCTCCCCCGTGGCAGTCAAAAGTTCAGTAATACTTTGCATATTCACCGGTAGCTACTTCGCCAGTGGACTTTTCTTATTGCAGAATGAGAAAAAAGTCATTACCCGGAGTACAGTGTGAGGCAACTAGAGAAGAAAAAATTAAGGGCGGGGGAGGATACGGAATGGAATAAAATAAAAAAAAAAGAGAGACGGGGAAATTCAAGAGCGCAGATCGCTGTCGTGGGGGAGTTGCGATAGTGTCTGGCAGAGTGTTCGGGATTTTGTACTTTCCGGGGAGAGAATGGTGAAGTTGGCTGCTTGCTTGTGAAACGACTCAGCTTGGGATCGAGCAAAATGTTTTCTCATTAAAATAAATAAACTAGTGAGACGAGGGACTTGAGTTGGATTAGTCGAAATATGCGACTGTTGCCCTTCTGGTTGGGACTAGGGGTGAATAGGAATTACAGTATCTTTTTCGGGGAAATTAAGGGCACCCTTTGTTGTTCCCATGCATGCCTGCTCCACCGCACACCAGAATATTGAATTAATTACCTCGAAAATATTCCGGACATGTTACAATTACCCGTTCAACAGACATTCCCCGGATTTGGTTGTTCTAATACTCCGAAATATCTCGAAAATGTCTTAAAAAAATGGTTCACTCCGCGAGAAGAAGCTGAAAAAAATTGAAGGCAATCACAACAAGAGAAACCGTTTCAATAATTGTTGAAAGATTCGAGGTGGGCCCGTCGCCATCTTGCAGTCCCTCGTAACGGCGGGAAAATTTTTTCCCGATTCACTCTTCATTTCTTTGAATATTTACATTTTTGATGTCAAATTATAACGACTCATAGTATGTGAAAAAATAAAAGAAATTCGGGAATTGTTGATAAGGCCGCAGATGGCGTACCGCATCTTCATGTTTCTATTATGTGAAAATCTAAAAATAATGAAATATCGACATTTACACAGAGTCCCTTCCCAGTTCAATTCGAAGACACCGACCTGAAATAGCCAGTGACCGCACAACGTCCCTCTGGGACTCTGGGAATTTCTATCGTGTGGTCGCATTCCCTCAACCCTATGGGGAAACTCCAAGTATGATCCAACTGGTCTTATAGCACTCGAGTCCACGATGTTGAAATCAATTAAATATCTCAGAGTGTTGGAGTTCCCAGTGACACAAATCACCTTTTATTGGGATAGTTCACGACCTGAGAATATTAGAAGACCCATAAAGCGGACAGAAAAATTCATAAAGAAGACAATTGAAATTCATTCGCCTCCTCGCAGCCATTGGATCCATTGAATAATAAAATCCTCTGAAATTCACATTTAATGAGAGAACCCAGCGAAGATTCTCGATAAAACATCAAAAAATCTTATCAATCTCCAGTGACATTTGATATCAAAATCACTCTCTCCTCACACGATAAAGTAACGACCAGAATCACTTGTTCATGAGTTCGTTAACTTTTTCTCCAACCGCTGATCCGCAAGATGAAGATTTTCCGTTTCACGGAACAACTTGAATAGAAATTATCATGAAAAAAAATCCACACCTTCTTCTTGTCAGTTTTCTTTATCAGTGAGAGACAAGGCACAAGCTGAGGTACATAAATTATTCGGTGAGAGTACTTTCAGCGACGAGACAGCACTTTATGATCTCCTGGATAATTTTTGTTGCCTGTTTCTGTGTCTCTTCAATCGCTCTCTTGTCGCATTGAACCACCAATTTTCCCCATTTTATTCGTTCCTCCGCCTCCAGTTTGACAAGTGCATCGAATTTCTTCAAAAGATCACTTCCTTGTTTAGCCAATTCCCCGATATGACTTCTCAGACAATCAAGAGTATCTCCACTTGTCAGACAATTCTCCAGGATCTTCTGTGCATCGATCTTGAATTGGCTCGCATCGTTGTGCACGGACGACCGTTCATTTTTCAATTTTTCCATAGCTTTGTCGTGCTTATTATAGCATTCAAGTAGGTTACACTTCATTGTCGTACGTATTGCTGTGAATTCTGATGTTTTTTTATCAATGCACTGGCGTGCTATTGCCCCACGCTTCGATATCTCGGATAGTTTTTCTTGAATAGTCTGGAATGCTGATTCGATCTGGAAAAGAGATGATTCGGATCTAAGTAAATTCCTCAATTCCTCAATTCCTCAATTCCTCAATTCCTAAATTCCTAAATTCCTAAATTCCTAAATTCCTAAATTCCTAAATTCCTAAATTCCTAAATTCCTAAATTCCTAAATTCCTAAATTCATAAATTCCTAAATTCATAAATTCATAAATTCATCACCACATAAACAAGACGAATGAGTTGCATATGGAATTAATTTACTTATTTATTAATTTATTTTTATTGAAAAAGAATATTTATTTTTGTAATAAATGGAGTAATTCACCTGTGCAACAGCTAGTTTCTCATAATCCTCGACTGCTCTCTTTTCCATCTCCAAACACTTAGTAATAACTTCGGTAGCTTCACGCAATATTCGATTGGTCTGCTCCAACATATTCTCGAGGGTAAATCCCTCCTCCAGAGATGTACTTGCCCCCATGAGTTCAAACAATAATTCACCCACTCCCAACTACTTTATTTACCCTTATTTTTCACGTGAAGATAAACTCGGGTTTTATTTTTACAATTGAACTGAGAGTACCAGCTGAAATCGAGAAACTCGAGTGAAGGCACAAGCACCGGGTAAACAATTCATTCTGTTTGTTGAAATGTGTACATTGTCTATTCAGTTTCTCCAAGAATCAGAGGTGCACTGGAGAAAATGGCTACGTGGAACAAACGGAATAACTGACAGAGAAGAATTTTCACTGGATCCAATTGAAAACAGTTATTTGTTGTTCCTGTCGGGGATAACAAATGATTGAGGCCAGTGCTGCAGTTATTTTTTCGTGTTATCGGTGATTGTTAATTGAATAGTGAGAGATTGAGGTAGTAATGAGTACTTGGGGGTTCAATGCTCGCTCGAAATCCTTTTGAAGTCCACTTTTATTTCATGCATACGTCATTTAGTCTCTCGTCTTTTTTTCTCTTTCTTCTTGTTCCTTGAATCTCTCTGTGGAGAGAAATCTCGCTGTCTTGGTTGAAACTCCAACGAGGGGTGACACGAATTCGATGCAATGAAGTCCAGAATTTATTACTTTATATGTCAATTCAATTTCAATTTATTACTGACATTACTCTGGATTTCCGGGATGTGGTCTCATTTTAAAAATCCGGAATTTCGTGACTCATTTAATTAATCTCTCGAGTATTCTGGTAATTATCTATTTTCAGGTCGATGTCCCACTGAAAACCAGAGAATGTCGAAAATTCAGGGGATAATTTATCCTTTTCGAATTTATTACTAGTTTGTTCTTTTTTTTAAATTCCAACTCGTGGAATTGAAATTTTAGATGGATCAGGACTGAATTTTCCAAATTTCTAGCATTGCCCAAAATTTGAAACTCCAAAATGAAATACAAGTTGTCACGAATATTAATGATCATTTTTCCACCCATGTAAGTTTAATACGAACCTGGTGTACTCGTAATTAGTTGGTGTAACCCGAGGTACGACGTTACAAGTTTGATAAATAGCAGCGCGTTTGCCATTTATTTGCGGTTTTCACACGAAACGTCGAGACATAAATAAAGTGGCCGGAATATTCTCTCAGTGAATCATTGAATCCACACTGCACTCAGTGATTTTGAAATTAACCTTAAAACAAGCAATTACACTAAATCAACTATCGACGATTAAATTTAGTAATGATTATCGAAATGATTATTTGATCGATAAAAATATTGGCAGACTGTGGGGTGCTGTGATATTAACTGCAGACAACTTCAGAATTACAATGAAATGTGACAGAAGAGAGTCAGAGGGGCGTTACTCGAAGAATCCAATAAACGTGGGAGGAAAAGGAAGTTAAATCTAAATTGTTGACGTGACTGTACAGTAAGTGAAATGGGTGACTTGGATAAGGGATGAGTTGGGTGATGAAATTCAGGGGAAATTCTCTCTGATTATTGGAATCATGATTGAGAATTTCTATGTGAGATGAAATAAATAGGATAGATCAATGAAAATTCTTACTCTGGAATTTTTCTGTATCCGAATTACTAATATGATGTAAAATAATTACATGTCTAAATATTTATCAATCTTGAATTACCCAAATCATCCACCTCCATTACCCCCCCTTCCGAGCTCCCACCCACCACTCGGAATCCATTTTTTTTTTTTTTTTTCGGCTGACTCGGTTCTCCGTAATGCGAAAATAAAAAAAATTTTGCTGATGCCGTATAAAAAATAAAACTCATCCCTGAATTACCGACTCGGGACAATGTTGAAGGGGATTTAAAGGGGGCAGTGAAAAGAGGTAAAAGAGACATGACGCGCGACCGGAAGCTCAATTTGGTCCATTGAAATTTATCGAATCTTTCACGAGCGATGGATACGGCCCTGAAAACCTTTCGTAGACCAAATAGTCTTCTCTCGGATGTGGAATAATTGAGGGATTCCCCGAGCGTTACAGCCTGGTCACGTCGGGAGCTCCATCTAACGTCAGAAAAAAAAAAGATTGGGGACAAAGGGGCGGGAAAAAACAGGGACGTTTCAATTTTTTAGAAGTTGAGTCGAAGCACAAGTGTGCACCCTCTCGAATTATTCAGTAGTGCTTTGTCCATGGGACTTTTTCGAGCTCAAGACACTCGTAATTTCTGGGGGGTAATGGGATCCTCCCATTGATGAATTGAAGGAACTTCAGGGGATTTGGTGACCCAATTATTAATCCCAATGACAATTCAACTAGACTCTGACTAATAATTAATTAAACTGAACCAATAATTAATTATTATAAATTATCAAACTGCAATGTATGATGTAGGACACGAGCGTGGATTGTGATAATTAGAATAATTGAAATAATTGAAATAATTCGAATAATTTTCATCAGTCAGTATTATAAATATCTTGATGACTCGAATCATTCGGTCCCACCGATGATTTAATTTTTATTTCGTCAACGGATATGAAATACTTTCCACAAGAGGCTTTAGAATTATCGGAGTCCCCGGAATTTTCCGAGGGTAAAGATGAGTGGTTGATGGATGATGGAAAAATTGATGGAAATTTCGAGTCTTTGGTGGATTGAGCTGCTGGAGATATTTTGGGTCAATGAGTTGACCCAGTGACGATTCCATACCTTGTGGTAAAAATATCTCACTATTGTGCATCATCCGTAACAATAACTTCTTTTTCCATTGAAGCCCACAGCAAGATCGGATAACTTGTAAAACTTGGTCAATCAACCGTGGGATTGCATGCGGTCTACCAATGTAGCTATCACATAGAGGACAAGAGAAGGCACAGGGAATTGGATATCTGTACCGAGTACTCAGCCAATTCGACAGATTTCCGTCAAATAGAATGGAGAATTAATGGAGATCAAATACCATAATGGCGACCCCGGATTTGTTTGCACTGTAAAATCCTCCAATTTTTCCCAACCACTCCCGCATTCCAAATCCATCAATTATTTCAGCAAAAGAGGCTGCACAAAAACCCCAGAATTTTCTCCAATCGTTTTCAGAAGGAAAATCCACCTGCAAAGAAAAGCTACATCTTGAGAGTACGCGCCCCTAAAATTGTTATTAAAAAAAACTGACGAAAAAATGGTCGGAGCAACGGCAAAAAATGCATTCAGTTGACCCCATGTTGTTTGCATTTTTAGAAAGTTGAAATTGCAAGTCGTAAACTGTAGTTTATAGAGGATATGCTTCTCCCGAGGGCGGCAAACTCTAAAATATTGCTCCTTGTAATGCAGTGCATACATTCTATCCTCGGTTGTTGTACGGAGGAAACACGACTGTGAGTGGAAAACAGAGAACGTACGTGGAGAGACGAGACATCCATGGAGGATTATAAAAAACAAACTTCCCTTGGTTTTTTTTTCATGCCTGAGACAGTGTCACCCGTCCTCAAGTTTTTTCAACACTTTACGGTTGAAGACAATCTCGGTGACTCGCCAGTCGACTGGAAAATGTCAGCGTGCATTAACTTACTTGCATTCTAGAAACAGAAGTCCACATTTTTTTTTGAGTCCTATGCCAAGCGACATTAATCCACGAATGACAAGCGGAATGTCAATTAGTCTATTCAATTACACACATCAATTATTTATGGACAATACTCGGATGAAAATGCAGATTAAATGCGAATTGTTGATGATTCCATGGGACAAACACAGCGCTTTGTGGGATTCCCCTTTTTTGGAGGGAGAAAACAATTTTCTGTCATAAAAATGAATCTGATGACTCGTCAATATTTTTTGTGACAATCAATGATTTTTTTTCACATTTTCCGAATACTTTGACTCCTCTGTTGTCTCCAATGATCCTCACCAATGCGAATAATCCCCATTTTTTCCAGCGGCTGGCTATTCCAGATATGCTTTTTACCCCGAAAATATAGAATTGAAATACCGAGTGGATGTTTGCACATTGAAACTCGGCAATGTTCCACACGGGAACACGATGAGCTTCCGGTATTTTGAATCGATCGTTGCCTCTACGATTACCTCCTGCCATGTATCCCGTGAATATGTTGAATATGTTGAATCCTTCATCGATGTATGATCGACGTACCTTTATGGGATGCATACACATACCCATCTCATCCGATATTCCAAATTTATTTCCATCGCGATCGAGCCTCTCCGCCCATTTAGTAATTGCAATTCCGGGAAAAAAAAATTTAATCAGATTTTTTCCAAATTTTCAAGATTTCTGAAAACTTTTCGAAAAATTTTTATTTTGAAATTAAAAATAGTGGGGAAACACAAATTTTTCAAAAATTTATTTCGGAAAATTTTTTTATAATTTTCTAGAAATTTTTGCGAATATAATTTTTTTTAAAATTATACTGTTGTTTTCTTACTTTTTTGATTTTTCAATATTCTCAAAAAAAACGATATTTAAATTAAAAAAAAAAAATCCTATTCAAATTTTTGAAAAATCTTTTTATTACAATTTTATTGACCCGGGATGCCCCAGAATTTTTGGATTACAATTTTATTTCCCGGGATGCCCCAGGATTTTTTTTCCATTCGACCTGTATTTATTTCCGCCCCCGATTCCCAGTCAAATATTCCCATAACTGGAGTTATCACCGGATTAAATACCCATGTGTTATCTCCACCTAAACTCATGAATCAATACATGATTCTTTCGAGTAAAAGATTATGAGCGAATTGCGAGTTGTTGCTCTGCTGATTTTCTGATCCCCAAATTCCAACGGCTATAAATCCTCCAAATAAATTCACTAATACGAATTTCAAAACGCAGGTGCTCACAACTTTTTCGCTGCAGATGGCGCCGAAGCACAGAATCTCAAAGAATCGCGAGTAAAAACTCGTCACAGTATTTTACAGCTTTTTACTAGCTCTCGCGTAAGTTTTTCCACGTGCCAGTATGAACTCTACTTTTCCCGTTTATTCGGATCATTTTTATTTCACCCAGTATGATGCCGAAGGAAAATATTCTTTTATACTTTCATACCAGTGGGCGGTCTAAATTTCAAACTATCCAATATCTTATTTTTCTCAGAGGGGTGGGAGGATTGAGAGGAGTGAGAGGAGTTCCTTCCGTCTATCTTTCTCGGTAATAAAGTTGGAATGCTTGTATCTACAAACAAGGATGGCTCCTAGAAATGATGATAAATCTGAGAAACGAGGGGCCATGATGGTAGACAAATTGAAGAAGAAAATAGAAATATTTAACAACTGTAACAATACGTAAAAATAATGGAAATGAATACAATATTGCTCTATCCCCAGGTATTTGTTTACTGCGCCCTTATCATTGTCCTCAATTCCATTATTTATGCAACGATTGCTTGAAATTTCGACAGAGCATTAAACTTTCGGTTGAGAATAAAATAGTCTATTCTCCGATGACATAATCAAATGTAAAAAGCGTGAAGAACATTCGGTTAAATTGTGCGTTCGATTGAGCATCCCCTTGAAATCGTTTCCATTCAATCTGTACTCGTACCATTCAATTTTCTCTTCACATTCAAATCCTTCACGTGAAACCGTCGCAAATAGTCTTTTCACCACATAGTGCATCTAAATCTGTTCAGTGGTTATGGGCAAGAAGCCTGAGACATTGACAGCAGTTGAATGGATGAACCGTAGGCGTTTGCGACATCGACTCAGGGAAATTAAGCTGTGCCGATAGGATTGTCTCCACGGAGTAATGGAATAAATGACGAGAATATTCCTGGGTTCACTCTGTGGTTTTGTTGTATGCCCCATGTAAAAATATTTAGTAAAAATGACCCCATGTAGAAATATTTAGTAAAAATGACGGAACTTTCAGTTCACTTACGAATTACGGAGTCGATTCGAATAATTTTAGTGACGATATCGTAATTTTTCCCCGATAAATCAGTGAAAAATTCTGTAACCTTAAATAAAAATTACGTGACAATTCCCTAAAATTTTCAACATCCACATTTCGCTCCAGAATTACGAAAATTACACGTCATTTTTATTGAATATTTCTCTCTGTGTATCATATCCACTCCTGCTTTAACCGGACAAAGCGAAATTGAGTGTTGAAAATTCCTCGAGCAACGGATCTGCTATTATCGATCGTAATATTTCCATATTTTTATGCGTAATGAGGTAAATTTAACGTCTGCGTGATTTTCCGAGGAGATGTGTGAGTGGTAATGGCGGGGCTCTTCGAATGCGAGGGGGCGAATGAGGAGAATGCGCGAGGCAATTAGTTGCGAATCAATGGATAATTTGGGGGAGTGTTTCGTACTAGTGCATTCATCTGGGTCGATAATTGGTAGTACCTA